TCAGCAGGATAGGGAATGGACTCAGCCCATTAGCCTGTTCTTCTGCTCTGTTACAAGCTTTTCCTGTTTCTCCCATGAATCCCTCCACCCCTTTGGAAGGTGGATCACCTTATGGACTTGTCCTCTGAACAGTGTCTTGCATTTTCCACATTCTGTCTAAGTCCCAAATGTCTCTGGCTGGCTGGCAGCCAGCAGAGGGAAAGAAAAAGGTGTCTTCTTCATTTTGTCTTCATCAGAAATTGGTATCCACATTCACCTTCTGGGGTGAGCAAGGCTTACAATGGTTCTTTTTTCTCTGGGAAGAGCCAGAGGATGGCATGTTCTCCATGTCTAACAGCTTCCTTGTTTCAGACATGCTATTTTTGCCCTGTTTCTGTTGAGGTATTGATGACATTGTATTATTAATTGTGCTGCAGTAGCACCTGGAGGTCCTTGCTGAGATCACAGCCCATTTGTGGCAGGTTCTGCACAGTGATGTTCCTGGAGACAACCCATCCTGAATGGACAGCAGCCAGACTGAAAAAACCCCAACATATGGCAGAAGAGAGGATGTTCTTTTATTTTCACCCCACACAGGGTGGCCTTCCCAGTGGAGCTTTGAGTAATGTCTGGGATGTTCAATATTCAGCTCAAATGGGGCTTCCTGGTACCTATTGAGTGGACATGTTGGCTGGAGTTAATCTCTCTTACCACTGATGTCTCAGATTATGTTCTCATATTTTAATCCAATCTAATTTTTCACCTGCTTTCTCCAGAGCTCTGATATTTCTGACATGTGAACAGCTTCTATGTCTGCTTTTCACTGGTTTGTTGGGTTTTTTTTGGTTTGTTGGTTTTTTTTTCAAATCTTGCAGTCTTATCTCTCAGCAAGTTTATGTCTAATGTGCAGTTTCTTCTCCCAGCATGAAAATCAATGGCAGAAATTGCATGGAAAATACAAGTTTCACAAGTCAAAAGAACTCTTTGTCTTGTGTTTGTTATGTCCAAGAGGAAGAGCAGGGACACTTCTCTTGCTCAACAGCAAAAGCAAAGGAGGCTGAGAGAGCTGTGGGTGTTCACCTGGAGAAGAGAAGGCTTCAGAGAGACCTGAGAGCCCTTCCAGTGCCTAAAGCACCTCCAGGAGAGCTGGAGAGGGACTTGGGACAAGGGATGGAGGGACAGGACACAGGGAATGGTTTTCCACTGCCAGAGGGCAGGGAGAGATGGGATATTGGGAAGGAATTGTTGGCTATGATGGTGGTGAGGTCCTGGCACAGGTTGCCCAGAGAAGCTGTGGCTGCCCCATCCCTGCAAGTGTCCAAGGCCAGGTTGGACAGGGCTTGGAGCAACCTGGGATAGAAGAACATGTCCCTGCCCATGGCAGGTGGTTGGAATGAGATGAGATTTCAGATTCCTTCCAACTCAGACCATGATGATGATGATGATGATGATGAAAAGAAAGCTCCCAGTTCTCTCCTAGTAATAAGCAGTGCGATGCAGACCCCAGAAAAGCCAGGGGAGATTCTACCACTGGTTGAAATGGTGTCAGTATTTCACTCACCGCCTTCAGGAGCAGCAGTGGACACTGGCATGGCTGCAGGTCTAGGATCTGCTCCCTTCAGACTATAAATAATATTTATATATTCTTTAAAAAAGAAAGAAATCTGAGAAGCAACACATTGGCCTCACCCTGGGACACACTGAGTGAGCTGCAAGTTGCTAAACACCTAAGAGGGCACACTCTGCCTGGAGATAATTTAGCACCAGTAAAAGATGTCATGTTGAGTGGCCTGAAGATGTCAACTGTATATCCCAGGCAGGGACATGTCCTCATGACTGAGGGAAAACCATTCTGAGCAAACTGAGATGAACTATTACCCCAGCACTGCCCTGAGAGAGAGGACGTAGCATTAAACCAAATCAGTGGGAGAAATATGATTTATTTAACCCTTAGAAAATGCCCATCTGTATCCACACTGCCAAAATGCTTTTAACAATGAAGCACCCCAAAGATGAATTTCTGCAATCTATTAATTCAAAGAGATCAGGGTTGGCAAGATATTAGGAAGGAAAGATATGTTATAGGAATAAAAACTGCAAAAGAGCTGGTGATGGCAGAAATACTCCCTGACAGACTATTTGAAGTGACTTAACACAAGTTCTGTCCATAGAAAAGGATTTGGCTTGTGCAAAAAAAATTAAAATAAAATATAATCTCTATATATAAAAATATATATAAATTCAATAACTCAGCTGGCTCAGCTCCATTGATTCCTGAGGCTCTGTCATTGCCACCATCTATTTTCTGCACACACAACACAGTGGTGATGAGTGTGATTGAAGTATCTACACAGATCCATGGGAGGAAATATCCTGAGCAAAAAATAGCTTGGACTTAAAAAAATGATCTTTACAAATCTAAACTTAGTGGGGATTTCAAGACAGGTTGTTTTACATCAGAAACAGAAAAGATTTCATGTCTATTTTTCTTTTTTCCTCTCCTTCTTTTTCCTTTTTCTCTTTCTTCTTTTTTGCCCTCTTTTTTTTTTTTTTTTTTTCTTCCCCCCCCTAATTCTATGGGGTCAGGGTGAAAGACCTCACCAAAGGAATAAAAATGAAAAGAAAAAAAAGAACAGGAAAGTAAAGAAGGAAAATAAATACACAGGTGGCAAAACCCTACTCAAAATATTTGATTTATTAAATTATAGGCTTTTAAAGTGAGCTAGAAATATGTTTTCTTTAGGAATATAGAAAGATGTTTTCTTTAGGAATAGATGGACCAGAAGTGGATTTATTGACCAATAACAAGCAGTAGAGAGACAGACTGAGATCTTGGGGTTATTTTGAAGTTTTATGTTACTGATCACAAGGACTCAGCAGTTTTGTTGCTTTGCACAGTGTGTTTAATGCAAGTTTTAGTGAGCAGAGCTTCTCTTACTGTGGGTTTTATAGAAACAAACTCGATGTGTCTTAGTCACAAGTGTTGTTAAAGTGCAAACAGTAAATAAAGAATGAAGGGAAAACAATGGGATTTCAGTGTATTCCCACTAAAAGTGGATGCCTTATGGCTTATTGTAAGAAAAATGAGCAGAAGTGATTAACTGCATCTAGAATGTGATTTGATTTATCTCTATCTCGTTGTTTTACCCCACACACATTTACCCTCCTCTTATTTGCACCAGATCCAGCAATTATCTCTCAGTACCCCCCACAGCCCTGGTGGTACCAACTCATCCTGGAGAACCCCAGAAGAATTTCACAAACCAAGGCCCTGGGCTCTCCAGTGGGTCTGGCTCCTCATTCCTTGGCTGTAGCAAGATTTAGAGGCCAAGTTCTGTCCTTCATGTGCTGTTATTCCAGGCACAGGTGACAATGGCAGGCCCATCATCGCTGCTCCTCAGAGGTTCCTTATCTTCCATTCCCAGCTGCTCATCAAAGGGATGATGATTAACTGACACAGTGACGTCAGGGGGCATCTTGGGGGCAAGATAGTGCTGTGCCAACCACCAGCACTGGCTTGGTGTGGTCACCTCTTGTTGGGGGGTTCCCACGTGCTCTAGAGATGTTCTCCTGATGAAACAGATTGAGGAGGAGGGGATGTCCCAGCTGGATTATGGAGACCCCTGGCAGCACAAAGCTGCCAGATGCTGGCCCCTCTGAAGTCCTCTCAGACAGAAAGAGATCCTTCTCCTACTTTTAAAAGCACTGAGTGTTTTATCTGAGAGCTGAACTTCACTCTTTCAAATATGAAGTTGCAGGAGCCAGATGGAATCACAGAATGGGCTGAGTTGAAAAGGACTCACAAGGATCATTGAGTCCAACCCTTAGACCTGCACAGGACCATCCCCAAGAGTCACACCCTGTGTCTCAGAGTATCATCCAAATGCTCCTAGAGCTCTGGCAGCCTTGGGGCTGTGCCCACTGCCCTGGGGAGCCTGTTCAGTGCCCAACCACCCTCTGGGGCAAGAACTTTCTCCTGATATCCAACTTAAACCTCCCCTGATGGAACTTCAGACCAGTGCTCATCACAGGATTGATGCCTATTATACCTTTAGAGAAGTAAGTGTTGTATTTGAATGGGTTGGATGGGACTCTGAACAACCTGCTCTAGTTGAAGATGTCCCTGCTCATTGCAGGGGGTTGGATTAGATGACATTTAAAAGGTCCCTTCCAACCCAAACTTTTCTATCGTTATATGATTCCATGAAAAGTGACTCCTGTAGGACTTGGTGTGTAATCCAGAAATGGGTCATGTGGTGAGGGTGAAGAGTGTAAATCTGGGTTCTTAGGGAGGAACAAAGATTCCTTCACAGGCACTTCCCTCACTGAGTGACAACGTCCCTCATTGTCCAGCACTGAGGCAATAAATGGGGTTATAATTCAGGCAGTATTTGAGGTAATATTAGGGGTAATATTAGTCACAGTTCTTGTTCCTCTTCCTGAGCAAAAAATGGAAGAGAACTAAGGGCCAAAATGAAATGTAGCATTTGCCAGGTAATAATTGCTGTCCCATACAGGAATTACAGGAATTTAAAGATCATAATTCTCTGTAAGCAAAACTGAAATGCCTCCAGTTCCACTCTTTCCCTCACTACCACATTGATTATGCCTAAATCTTTCCCAGAATATGGGAAACCTCTTAATAAATGAGATTTCTTCTCCCTTAGGCAATCTCTCCCACCCCTTCCCTGTCTTAGGAAGTCTGATTAAAATGTAGCAGAGCTTCTCTTTCAATGGAAGAATATTCCAACAGAGCCTGCCAGCAGGCTCTGGAAGACCCTTAAGTTCTCCAGAACCACATTTATTTTCACAGAATCACAGAATATCCTGAGTTGGAAGGGACCCCCAAGGATCATTGAGTCCAGCTCTTGGGCAGGACAACCCCAAAAGTCACACCCGAGAGCGTTGCCCAAATGCTCCTTTATTTAGGTGCCAACCAACAGCCAGCTGATTCTGGGCCTGGAAGAGTCCAGCTCTTCTCCATCAGCTCCTGGTGATCCCCTTTGCTCTTCTCTCCCCAGATTGACAGCATGCAGGCCCTGCTCCACTGCCCCAACGTGCTGGTGTGCGTGGGCCGGGAGCCCTTTAAACCTGTGTCCATGGAGAACCTGAGGAAACACTCGGTGGAGAAGCTGCCCAACCTGCCTCCCCGCTCCACCGGCAACAGCGGCATCGAGAACAACGAAAGTAAGCAAAGCCCCTGGGTGTCTCCAGGCCTGCGTCCCACAATGTGGGCATTGCAGGCACCCATTGCGCTGCCCCAACGTGCAGATTTCATGTGGAAAGTGCACTTCCTTCTCCCTCCTTCCCTCCCAGGCCTTTCCATCCTCCCCTTCTTTTTCTCTGGTTTCCTTCTAGGATTTCCTCCCTACGCCCCCCTCCCCAGTCTTTCTCTTACATGCTCCCCGTGTCTGGCTGACTTCCCTTCCTCTTTCATATCTCTGGGTCTCCTTTTCCTTCCAGAACTCCCTCCTTTCCTGTGTCTGTCTCCCCAAACCCTTGAGATTTCCCACGGATCCTCGATCCCCTTGTCTGTCTGGGGTGTCACGCCTGCACTCATGGACTTCCCTGCACCAGGAGCAGAGGATGCCCTGGTTCTGCCATCAGGAGGCTCAGTTTCTCCTGCAGGTCACAGCTGCCCTTTTGGGAACAAAACATATTTTTAGGGAATGTTTTTTTTCAGGAAGGAGTATGTTATGGATTATTCAGGATTATATTTCTTATTTTATTCTTCCCCGTGAGTTATCTAAGGTCACAGGTAATTAAACCAACCACCCTCTGTAGCCTGTGAAAGGAAACTTCCCACTTCCAAAGGGCAATAATCTCATGTGTACTGGGGATTTGTGGTGGAATGAAATTCAATGTGCTCTGCAGGTGGGCCTGTTTCCTCTCCCTTGTCAATACCAGGAGTTGGGAAAGATTCCCTCATGTGTTGGCCACTAGCTGTAGAAATTTATGGACAGAGACATTCCACACTCACTGCCTGAGACATAAAAAATTGAGGGGGAAACATGGGAATAAACTGGACCTTTTGTCCATCAAGAGACTGAACAAATATATCAGTTCACATGCATAAAGATGATTACAGAAAGCTATTTCACGTGTTATTGGTCTTGGCTGATGTGCTCCTGTTCAACACTCCCTTCCCAAAATGCCTCCATCCAGCTGTGCATCCACATGCCCATGGAGACACGTGATTGTCCAGATATATATACAAGTAAATTTTGGACAAGCACAGATTAGAAACAAGATGGATGAATGCCTTTCAAGGCAGCCTGATAGCAACATATTCTTTTTGAAATGAAGGGTCCAGGACCTCAATAAATCTATGCACGTCACTGCACTGGGCCATAGAGAGGCTTCAGATTCCTAAATTCCCTTTCTATCACTGATTCCTTCTGCAAATACCCCTATTTATCACCAGATTACAACTCCTTTTCTATTTGTTCTTAATGTTTTAATAAACATTATGATTATTGATAGTGGCACATCCCTGCAGGGACTGAGTGTTGCACAAGAAATCAGAGAATCATAGAGTTGGAAGGGACCCATCAGCACCATTGAGTCCAACTCCTGGCCCTGCACAGGACACCCCAAAAATCCACCACGTGCCTGAGAGCATTGTCCAAACACACCTTGAATTCAGACAGGTTTGGTGCTGTCACCACTTCCCTGGGGGACCTGGGAATGTGTGACACTTGACCAGCAATTAAGGAAGAGAGTCACTTCTCCATATATTTTTCCCTGGCTGAATAAGAAGGATGAAAACTTGAACAGTTAAATAAAGGAGTATTTGCAATGTGATAAAATACCAAAACTCTGAGACTAAATTGCTCTGTATGTGTGTGTATTTATATATTTCTATATTTATTTATTTACTTGACTTCCTGGCATGCATTTAATAACACAAAATGTTTCTGTTTTAATTTAGATTTTAAAAAGTAAGTTAATGTATTGACGATTTTAATACATGTGATTAATTCAGAATTAACGTTTAACAAGGAGGTTAGATTAGACAATCCCCAGGGGTCCCTTCCAACCCTAATTATTCTGGGACTCTGTGATTTATGGCCATCACTTAGTCAAAGACAAATTTTCAAATCACATAAATTGACACAGGCTTGGCTTTAATGGAATAACATCAGTATTCTCTAGTCTGAGGGTTTGACTCAGGTATTTTGTGTCACCTTTATCTGAGTTAACATTTCTCTCCATCTCTCTTTCCTTCCCTCCAGTGAACTTCGGACTGAAAGCCAAAAAAAGCGTTATCCACCCGCGGTCATCATCGAGCAACAGGTCCATGAGATTTTCTTTGTCGTCGGAAAAATCGTATCCCAACGGTCTCGCTGCCTCGCCGGATAACGGAGCACCCTTCTCCAATGGCTGCTCCCACCCCAAAGCCGGGGAGCTGGTCCAGTCCCTGGTCAACGATGACATAGAGAAGCGGGTGCACGTGAACAAGGACGGGAGCTTGTCCGTGGAGATGAAGGTCCGCTTCCGCCTGCTGAACGATGAGACCTTGCAGTGGTCCACCCAGATCAAGAAGTCCAACCTGCTGAACCGGCTGCCTTGTGAGGAGTCAGGAGTGGAGGAGGACAGTGGAGTGGACCCCCTGCAGAAGATGAACCCAGAAGTCAGCTCGGAGGCGGATGACTCGTTGTATCCCTGTGAGATCGATTCCTACATGTCAAAACTTGAGGAATCCGAGTGTGACGAGGCTCACTGTCACAGCTGTGGGAAGAAGCACCAGGACTATGACATCTGGAAGAACCCCATGCACACATCCCCGAGGGAAGAGCCCAGCGTACAGACCACCTGGCGCACGCGGTCGTCGTGCTCCAGCACGTCCTCCCGGAGGAGAGTCATCCACAAGAAAATGACTTCCATGGACAGCCTCCCCACCACGTCCAGTGAGGAATTCTCTGAGCACATTGTGAGAGAGTCCTCATCCTACTCAGAGACTGTAGAGAACAGGGTGGCGTATCGATCCGTCAGAAAGTGCAGGTGCCGAAGTGATTTATCTACAGGTGCTTCCATTGGAGAAGATCAGCAAGGAGACACTCCGGCAAGCACAGGGAATAGCCAGAGACCTTCATCCCTGGGTTTAATGTCACATTCCAGCTGTGAAAACAACCTGGATACTCAAGACGCCCCCGAAGAAGACCAGGAGATCAGCAAAACCATTTCACAAAAAGAAGAGGAAAACTGTTTTGAAGGTTCCCCTGTGAAGGGCTTAAAGGATGACGTGGAAGAGGCTGACAGCAGCAGAGTTGGGAGTGCCATGTCCAAGTCATCCCTGCAGTCCAAACGGAGCAAGAATAACATCTGTGAGGAAAACAGCACCGTGAGTAAGAGCATGTCCTCCTCCTCAAGCCTTCAGAAGGCAAATCCAGGAGAGAACTCTCGGAGCTCCACGCCTGCCAACAGTGTGCACAGCAAGTCCAGCAACTGTACCACCCAAAAAGCAAAGAGCGAGCAGGATGACCACTCTGATGAAAATCCAGTGGTCTCCTCCTTGTCCGGTGAGTCCTGCCCTAAGAAAGAGGCTGAAGAGGCAGAAACAGGGCAAGAGGAAAGTGAAGTTCAAGAAGTCAGCTCAGTGTCAGCAAAAACAAAGCCCAGCCAATCAATTAGGGGTGAGAGTTGTGAAGGGGAACGATGCTCCACACAGGGAAGCCACTCCTCCAGAGCTACTGACAGGAACAGCAAGAGAAGTGGTAGCAATGAGAACGTTCCATGCAGCATCTCTTGCTCTTCCAGGGGATCCAAAAAGAGCAAACGCAGCCATGTTCATTTGGATGCACAGTCTGAAGTGTCTGTGTCTTCATTTGGATCCTCTCCGAATAAAAAGAAGAATTCCCTGCATGCAGATGATGCGAGATCGTGCAGCAAAGCATCCAGTTACTCCAAAAGCTCATGTGAAACCAAGAAAAAATCTGTTGGAAATGCCATGTCTCAGAGGGCAGGATCTCTTCAGTCAAATGTTTCATCTACTAGTGCAGCAGAAGCAACTGCAGGTCCTGTTGAGGAGAAAAGCTCTAAAAGTAACACCAGTCACTACAGTGAATCATCAAAAGGCTCAAAGAAGAGAAGCCATAGAGAAGAAAGTAGTAAACCATCATCCGTCTGCTCAAAATTATCAAGTTCTAGTGGAAAAGCTGGAGAGGGTCATGCCAAGGTTAGTTCAGAGCCCTCTTCTTCCAAGCAGGGAAGTATGAGTGGGAGTGTATGTTCCAAAGCTGACCACGCAGTTGAGAGTGAGATTAGGAATGGAAAGTCCACAAGTGTCTCCTCAAGAGTCTCTTCAAAATCAGAAGCAAAAGAAAAATTCTTGTTGGCTCAGATATCCCAGGAGATGGACGAGAGGTGCTCACAGTCCAACATGTCTCAATCTTCGAAGTCAAGGCGGACAAAAAACAACAATCTTCACGTGAGGATGTCGAACTCCAGCCGGGCGTCGCTGTCTGAGACGATGTCCGTGCGCAGCCTGCACTGCCCCGCCCCACCCAAAGGGAAGCCAAAGAGGAAAAACGTGCGTCCAGCCGTGCTGAAGAACTCCTCTGTTAGCAGCTTAGGCACCAGGTCGCTGCTGAGCACGGGGAAAGAGCAGAAGGAAATTGTAGATTCCTCCAAAGAGACGTCCTACGGGTCTAAGTCAGCAGCGCCCGAGACAAACGATAAGAATAATAAAGAGACCGATGATTCTCAGAGCAAAAAAGCGGAGGAAGCGTCAGAGGACACAGGTGTGCAGGAGGAAGGGAGTGATTTGATGCCATCTGCTCTGCCAAACGCATCTCCAGAAGAAGTTGTGCAAGAGTGGCTCAGAAAAATCCCTTCAGAAACGCTGCTTGTGAAATATGAAATGGAGGACGATGTGGAAGAGGAAGGTACAGAGACAGCTACTGAGGTATCACACTGCACACAGGTCGAGGAAGTCCCAGAGGAGGAAAAAGTTGAGGAAAAGGAGGAGGAGGAGGCTGAAAAGGAAGCAAAGGTTGAAGTGGAAGAAGAGACAGCAGGAGATATAGCTGTTAAGGAAGAGGTTGAAGAATGTGTGAACCAGGAAGAAGTCTGTGAGGTGGCGTCCGAGACTGCCAAAGCTGAGCAGGCAGAAAGCAACCAGTCAGTTAACTCCAGCCAAAATAACAAGAGGGACCTGCCCAGCTCTGTCCAGACTTCTGTCCAGATCATGAAGGCCTTGCTCAGTTCGAAACACGAGACCAAATTTGACCGATCGAACAGTTTGCCCGAAGTGTCCCCCACCATGGGGAGAAAACTCAGCAACTCCGCCAACGTTTTGATTACTTGTCTTGCCAGTCTCCAGCTCCTTGATGAAGAGTCAGAAGACCCATCAGACACCTCAAAAGCTTTGAGTAAGTCAAGGTATACGGAGCTGCTGAATATTTTTCAAGCCCTGTGGTTGGGATGCACAGCTGAGAGGAGCGGTCCAAGCTCTGCTCAAGGGGCCAGCGAGCAGGCAAAGCCAGACCTTGGGTTTAAAGGTCCCAAATCCATGGATCATGCCTTCACTCGCATGTCCTCCTCCGGGGTTGATGTCTGCAGTGGTTCTGGTGGCTCAGGAGAAGAATGTGCAGCTGGTGCCACTTTAGTGGCCCAGAAAACTGTGGAATTCAAATCAGCTGAAGAGGAAAATACAGAGAATGGAACTGAAGTGACTGAGGCTGAGGAGCAAAGTAAAGAGGAAGGGCAGCCATCCCGCCCCTCGACAGCCTGCTCAGAATCACATAGAGAGGAAAAAGCACACTCTGCTACTGAAGAATCTCTAATTCAGGAGGAAGAAGAGAAGGAGGAGGATCAGTGCCACATCTCTGAACACGGTCAGGAGGAAGGGGGAGAAAATGAAAACGAAGAAAGCAGCAAATTAGCCCAAACTGGAGAACAAGAAGAGGCTGCAGCTGTGAATGATGAACTCCCACAAGAAAATCCTGAAGCCACCATCGATGATACAAATGTCAACGGTGCTGATGGTGAGATGGAGATTAAAGCTGGTTTGGAAGAACATCGTGAAAAAGAGTCACCAAGTGTCGCAGAGCCCAAAGTCAGTGCATCCACCAGTGTGGGGACATCCCTTGCCCAGCAAAACTCAGTGGATCCAGACCCAGTCTGGGTCTTGAGACTGCTCAAAAAAATCGAGAAGGAGTTCATGGCTCACTATGTCAATGCCATGAATGAGGTAAAAATCAGGTGGAACCTGCAGAACAACCGGCAGATGGATGAAATGATACTGGAGCTGAAGGAGGAGGTGAGTAAAAGGATACAAAAAAGCATAGAGAGGGAGTTGAGGAAGATCAGAAGCAGAGCTGGGACGAGGGTGCCAAGACCTCCGGATGAGCCACCCACACCCCAGTCAAAATTCCAGACAGAGCAGAGGAGGTGGAGATTGCAAAATATGCACAACAAGTCACTCTTTGGTGGCAAGAACGGCAACCAGACCAGGCTGGAGGAGACAACAGAATTATCCTTCGATGTAGATCAAGACTTGGCACTTAGTGCAGCTTTTGATGACAGTGTTAGTAAACAATCAAGCGAGGAGGAATATTGTCCATGTGACTCCTGTGTGAGGAAAAAACTGGCCTCCAAGCCCCAAAGACTCCCCGTGGTGGCCACCAATGCCCCAGTCATGAAAGCATTTGATTTGCAGCAAATCCTGAGGCTGAAGAAAGATGATAAGGAGGACGTTGTTGTTGCAGAAACAGCCCAGGACATCAAAGGTGAACCCCAGGCAGCTGAAGGAGAAGTGGAGGACAATGAAGTAAAGGAGGTAGAAGTAAATGAATTAAATGGAGGTGGAGAAGAACCTGAAATAGCAGAGAGTCAAAAAGGTGAGGGGGAGGATGAGGGGGAAAATGAAGAAACCAAAGAAGACGAAGCTGAAGGAGAGGGGGAAGAGAAAGCAAAGGAGGAGGAGGAGGGAGAGAAAGGGGAAGAAGAAATTGTTAAGGCTGAAGAGGAGGAGGAAATAGAAGATGAGGAGGAGGGAGAAATGAAAGAAGATGAGGAAGTAAAAGAGGAAGAAGCAGAGGAAAAGGAAGAGGAAGAGGAAATAAATAAGGAGGAAGATGAGGAGGAGGAAGAGGGAGTGAAGGAGGAAGAGGGAGAAACAAAAGAGGAGGAAGAAGCAAAAGAGGAGGAGGAAGAAGCAAAGGAAGAGGAGGAGGAAGAAGTGAAGGAGGAGGAGGAAGCAAAAGAGGAGGAGGAAGAAGCAAAAGAGGAAGAAGAAGAAGTGGAGGAGGAGGAAGAAGCAAAAGAGGAGGAGGAAGTGAAGGAGGAAGAGGAAGAAGAAAAAGAGGAGGAAGAAAAAGTGGAGGAGGAAGAAGCAAAAGAGGAGGAGGAAGAGGTGAAGGAGGAGGAGGAAGAAGCCAAAGAGGAGGAAGAAGAAGTGAAGGAGGAGGAGGAGGAAGGGAAGGAGGAAGAGGAAGATGCAAAAGAGGAGGAGGAAGAAACAAAAGAGGAAGAGGAAGAAGCAATAGAGGAAGAGGAAGAGGCAAAAGATGGGGAGGAGGAAGGGAAGGAGGAAGACGAAGAACCAAAAGAGGAAGAAGAGAAGGAGGAAGAGGAAGAAACAAAAGAGGAGGAGGAAATTAAGGAGGAAGAGGAAGGTGCAGAAGAGGAGGAGGAAGAAGAAGCAAAAGATGAAGAGGAAAGCAAGGAAGAAGAGGAAGAAGCCAAAGAGGAGGAGGAGGAAGCAAAAGAAGAGGAAGCCAAAGAAGAGGAAGAAGCAAAGGAGGAAGAAGAAGAAGTGAAGGAGGAGGAGGAAGAAGCAAAGGAAGAGGAGGAGGAAGAGGAAGATGCAAAAGAGGAGGAGGAAGAAGCAAAAGAGGAGGAGGAGGAGGAAGCAAAAGAGGAAGAGGAAGAAGCCAAAGAGGAGGAGGAAGGGAAGGAGGAAGAGGAAGAAGCCAAAGAGGGGGAGGAGGAAGAAGGAAAGGAAGGAGAAGAAGAAACAAAAGAGGAGGAGGAGGAAGGGAAAGAGGAAGAAGGAAAAGAGGATGAGGAAGGGAAGGAAGAAGAGGAAGAAAATAAAGAGGAGGAGGAAGGGAAGGAGAAGGAGGAGGAGGAAGAAACTAAAGAGGAGGAAGAAGAAGTGAAGGAGGAGGAAGAAGAAGAAGCCAAAGAGGAGGAGGAGGAAGAGGAGGAGGAGGAAGAAACTGAAGAGGAGGAAGAAGAAGTGAAGGAGGAAGAAGAAGGAGAAGCCAAAGAGGAGGAGGAAGGGAAGGAGGAAGAGGAAGAATCAAAAGAAGAGGAAGAGGAAAAAGAGGAGGAAGAAGAAACAAAAGAAGAGGAGGAGGAGGAAGAGAAGGAGGAAGAGGAAGAAGGAACAAAGGAGGAGGAGGAAGCAGAGGAAGAAGAGGAGGAAGCTAAACAAGAGAAGCAGGAAGAGGAAGAAAACCCAAAAGAGGAGGAGGAGGAAGAAGAAGCAAAAGAAGAAGAAGAAGAGGGAGAAAAAGAGGAGGAAGAAACAAAGGAAGAGGAGGAGGAAGAGAATGAGGAACAGGAAGAACAAGAAGAAGAAACTCAAAGTGAAGAGCAGGAAGCTGATGATGAAGCTGAAAATGAAGCTGAAGAAACAGAGGAGCCAGAGGATGATGAGGCAGAGACATCTGAAGGCAGAGGGGATGCCAAGGACTCTGGAACTGACAACAATCCTGGAGAAGATGATGCAGAAGGAAATGAAGAAGCTGAGCAGGAAGAAGCTGAGGCAGTAGAAGATGCAAAACTGGAGTCAGAAGGTGAGGCTGAGGAGGAAAACAGTGAAGGAGGTGAGAACCACAACGAGAATGAGGAGGAACCCGCCGATGACAACCCTGACAAGGCACATGAAAATCACGAGGGCAAAAGCAACAAAAAGGTTTCTCAGAAAGTCTCAAGGGCCAAAGGCAAGAAAAACATCAAAAAGAGTCTGAAAACATCCACTGCCCTTTCTTATTATTCTTCTGTAGGAAACTTCTCACAGCAATCCCAGAAGGGGTCTGAAGGTGGAGATGAAGGAGAAGAGGAAGAGGAAGGCAAAGATGACAACAACCCTGGGAGTGACCCCCCCAGTGGAGAGAATCAAAGCAATGAGAGCTCCAAACCCTCCCAGATGTATCCTGAGAGTGAGGAAGAGGAAGAAGATGAGGACAAAGATTCTTCAGGCACTGAACCCGCGGGAGATGAGGACCCAGCAGATGCTGAAGGGGCAGATCCAAAGGAGGCTGAAAATACTGATGGAGTTCAGGATTCTAAAAAGAAAGAAGACTCTGATCATATCGACCAGGATGACTTGGACTTCTAGAACTGCTTATTAACAACTGGGGTTTTTTTCTTTCTTTCTTCTTTTCTTTTCTTTTTTTTTTTTTTAAAGTACATTTTCATTACATATTCCAGTATCTCCAGTGAGTTGAGTCATCATAACGGGCTTTTCTTCTGAGTTAAATGTGAGTTAAACTTGATCTTGAATTCTATAAAGTTGCAGTTACCTGCCCTCATTTCTGGAGGGCTGGTAAACACATTAATATTTTGTGGTCTCAATAGATAAGTGGTTTGGGGAAAGGGAAGGCGGTTTTGTTTGTGACACCTTCTTGTTCCCACTCTTTAAGCCGTGCTGTTTGCTGCTTGAGTGACCTGTGGCTCTGCTGGGCACCATCTCTGAGTGACTTCGGGATGCCTTTTGTCCGTTGCACAGCATTTTCCTGGGAAGATTTGCCGATCCAAGGAAACACGGCAAAATCGGGATTCGTTGCCAAAGTCTGGTCAGAGCCCACAGAGATGGACATTCATTTTCCTCCCTCCCCTACCTTAGCCCGCCCTGCCTTCTCCTTACCCACAAAAAGGGTCTGAGATTAAAAAAAAAACCAAAACCACGTTCCCTGTTTTCCCTATTATCCCTTTAGCAAAGGTTGAGCTCATTCCTTGCTTCACTGGAAAACCTCAACACCCAGGAAGGTCATTCCAGTAGATGTCCTCTTCCCTCTCTGTTTGCACTGTGCTCCTCCCTGTAGGGGTAGATAACGAAGCTGAGTTAATTCACCCCCCGTCGGGTGTCTGAGAAGTGGCTGAATGTGATATTGAACAACTTAGATCTAGGTTCAATCCCTTGGGATGTCCTTTACTCCGCCAGTGATGGCATCTAAGCACTTTACAACCATCTGGGATCCCCCCAGACAGCTTTGCACGAGGCCCTGTCTGGAAGCTGCCGGGATTTGCAGTTGTTCAGTGCCTCGCCCTTGCAGACAACCAGCAAAATCGAAACTAATTTTCCCTTTAACACCCAAAAACAAAAAAAAAAAGTTTGGCCATTTGTGCTGCAGCAAACAGCTGGAAGAGGCTTAAGCATTTCTTGGAGAGGTTGGACTTTACAAACCACGATAGAGCTGCAAACTTCAGTTAGAAATGGGATTTTTACCAGATTGTTTCTTTTTTGTTTGTTCGTTTCCTTCCCCTGGGGCAACATCTCTGAATAAATGCCCAGCTAATGCCAGGAGAAGACTGACCATACCTCATCTGCATTCACGTGGAAACCTCTAGGGAAACAGTCCATTTGATCAATAATTTGCAGGGACAAGAAAACAGAGAGGGTGAAAACAAAATGCCTTAAACTGTATGGTGAAAAAGTATGTGTGTAGTGTCACGCCGGGTTTGTGAAGATGTTTGCAGACATGTTGAAATAATCAATGTTCAAAATCAAATCGTTTATATTGTTTTCATTTTTTTCAGTCTCAATTTCTTAAACTCGTATACAACCAGCTCCACAGATCAGATTTCACTTCGCTCACATTAAGAACTGGGTTCAGCTGCAGAGGTTCACACTTAATTTTAGGTGTCTGAGAAACTGGGCTCTTTGTGGAGGAGTCAGTGGAGAGCTGGATCTCAGCTGAGCTGCTCTCACAAAGGCTGAGATCCTGCAGGGAGTCCAAGACCATCCACAAGACAGAGAAATTAGATCTGGGCCTTCCTCAAAAGAGGGGCAGCCCTATCTGTGAGCCTCATGGAATCTTTGAACTGTTTGGGTTGGAAGAGGGACCTTAAAGATCATCCTGTTCCAACCCCCTGCCATGGTCAGGGACACCTTCCACTAGCCCAGGTTGATCCAAGCCCCGTCCAACCTGGCCTTGGACACTTCCAGGGATCCAGGGCAGCCACAGCTTCTCTGGGCAAGCTGTGCCAAGGCCTCACCACCTTCACAGCCAGGAATTCCTTCCCAATATCCCATCTAACCCTACCCTCTTTCAGCCTAAAGTCGTTCCCCTTGTCCTGTTCCTCCATCCCTTGTCCCCAGTCCCTCTCCAGGTCTCCTGGAGTCCCTTTAGGCACTGAAAGGTGCTCTAAGGTCTCCCTGGAGCCTTCTCATGGGGATATCTTGGGTTTCCAAGCACATCTCAGACAGAACTGCACCTCTGCCTCTTCCTAGATGCAACTCAGTTGAGCCATGACTATCTCCAAGTTTGATATCTTGCATCATCTTAGTTCCATGGTTTGTTTTTTTCTGTGGCCATTTCTATATCTAAAATGTGCTTTCAGACAGCTCAGAGTCTGTGCAGTTCAAACATCAACGCTTAGTGCCAGTTGAGATGGCCTAGAGAATCCCAGTATCACACCCCAGGGTTGGTCTATGAAGGGTTGCAGATCCCCTGTAGGTTCAGAGCCATCAGAAACTCCCTGTAAACGTCAGGGAGGCTCCAGGGCATCTTCAACTGGGTTAGTCATGGATGTAAAATAAACTGAATCCATCCCTAAAAATGTGTAAACGAATCCTACCTCAGGAAACCGAAGTACCAGCTTAAAACTGAATGTTGAAACTCCTTTGGCTTTGAAGTACATTTGTTGGGGTTTAACCCCAGTTGGCAACTCAGCCCCAAACAGGCACTCCCTCACTCCCTCCATGGTAGGATCCAGGAGGCAGTAGGAAAAGGGAGAGAACTCACTTTTGGGGGTAAGATAAGGAGAGTTTCACAGGTAAAGCAAAAGCCACACACGCACAAGGAATTAATTCACACAAAAAAGGAATTAATTCACTGCTTCCCATGGAAAGGCAGGTGCTCCACGAGAGCAGGTCCCCAGCACACTGAAGGGTGACTTGGGAAGACAAATGGCATCATTCCAAATGTCTCTCCCTTTCCTCTTCTTCCCTCCCAGTTTTATATGCTGAGCATGACACTATATGGTCTGGAATATATATCAGTGGTCAGTTGGGATCAGCTGTCCTGGCTGTGTGACATCCCAACTCCTCGTGCACCCCCAGCCTCCAGAACAGGCCTTGACTCTCTGCAAGCCCTGCTCAGCAATAACAAAAACATCCCAGTGTTATCAGCAGTGCTTCCAGCACAAATCTAAGGCACAGCCCCATTCCAGCCACTGTGAAGAAAATTCACTCTGTCCCAGACAAAACCAGCACAAAAGGAAAATGAAAACTTGCTCCCCTCACAGAAATACTTAAAGCCTTTCTGGTGTCTTAGCATTGCACTTACAGGTGAATTCCCACATCTGCAGTATCTGATGCTCCTCATACCTTCTCCACAAGCCAGTCCTATCCCTTCTGTGTCATCAAATATCACCTTGAAGTGTCATTTGAAGGTTAAAGCAGGAATTGTTGTGCATGAGCTCAGTGCTGGGCTTTGCACAGAAATGAATACCTCTTGTATGAGCCAAATTTCATTGCAAATGATTTCAAGCACCCACTGTTCACACAAGACTCGATATCCTCCTGAATCCTCCTTTCCCAGACTTATGCTGGTGGTTAAAGACAGCACAGTATCAGTGATCCCTCTGGGATTTACTGTCCAGGTCAGGAAGGAACAGCACTGCCACAGGGCAATTTTCCCCTTCTGCAGTGATGCCCGACGATATTGGTATTCACAGCCTGTACTAAACCTTTCCAAGGGTTCCATACACCAATTCCAGAATACTTTTTATGGTGTCCAGTATGAGAAATGTCAAAAATACGGTTACATGCACGGATCTATCATCAAGGCACCAAGGAGAAAGTTGTGTGGACTGGATTCATATCACTGAGTTGAGGCCCGTGTGTCAGGTGGTGTGTCCTGGCTCCTCCAGGCAATGTGGAAGGACAGGATCTCCCTGCAGTTATTCAGAATGGTTATTCACCCTCAGTTGGAGGGCTGAAGCCCATGGGCTGTAACATCCTAACCCAGGTACTTGGATCAAATGTTTGAATTCAGGCTGGGACTACCCCTGTCTTGTAAAGTGAGCAGGTACCACCGGGTGACTTAGTTGAAAACCCAGCCTGGGGACACTGGGTGAAGGCTGGGGCATTCCTGATGCCAGGGAAAAGGTGTTTGCTGCTGGAAGAAGCCTGTTATTCAGTGCTTGTCAGTCAGAGAATCATGGAATTATATGGGTAAGAAAAGACCTCTAAGGTCATAGAATCATAGAATGGTTTGGGTTGGAAGGGACCTCAAAGATTACCTAGTCCTGACCCCCTGCCATGGGCAGGGACACCTTCCACTAGCCCAGGTTGATCCAAGCCCTGTCCAACCTGGCCTTGGACACTTCCAGGGATGGGGCAGCCACAGCTTCTCTGGGCAACCTGTGCCAGGGCCTGCACCACCCTCACAAGGAAGAATTTCTCTCCAATATCCAACCTAAATCTCCCCTCTTCCTTTTGTACCCATGAAGACCATCAAGTCCAGTTGTTACCCCAGCACTGCCAAGCCCCCCCTAAACCATTTCCCAGAATTCCACATCATGTGTAGAACCATTTTGGTTTTCCCGAGGAACAAAGTGAAATATCTGCTTTCTGACACATCAGTTCTCGCAGGATTCAGACCAAAACAGTGCCTGGTAGCCATAGCTCTGACCTCAGAATGAGACATTCCCTGGAAGTGCTACACATTGACTTAACTTGAACCATTCCTGGTGAAATGTCTCCCTCTGATCCCACCATCCAGACTCCCATCATAACCAGTGAGGAGAGAGAGGCAAAGAGTGGAATTCATCTGCTGCAGGTAGCTTTGTCAGGAGGAGAGGAACTACACCGTCAGCAGGAACATTCCTCCCTGCTGAGTGCACTAAATAAATTGCTCAGATGGAGATCACGGAATCACAGAATCATTTAGGTTGGAAAAGAACTCCAAGCCCATCGAGTCCAACCTGTGCCCGATGCCCATCTTGTCACCCAGCCCAGAGCACTGAGTGCCACATCCAGTCATTCCTTGGACGCGTCCAGGGATGGGGACTCCACCACCTCCCTGGGGAGTCCATTCAAAAATGTCTCTTGTGGGAAAAGCTGCTCCCAGTGTAGCTGCTCAAAAGCATCTCATGTTGTTGACTTGGAGG